TCTTGTTCTAATAGCTGAGTTTGTTTCAGGATATCGGATCTCATCTGCTCCAAGTTTACTTTTTCTTTGTTTATTGTATCACTCACTTTGTCCAGGTCTTCTCTTTCTTCCTTCAGCCCTGCGTTCAATTTGTCAAGGTTTTGTTTTTCATTCGTAAACTTTTGCTTCCTTAAATTTTCAGTTTCCTCTTTCTGTATGACTAAGCCTGACAATATACTCATCAGACCTTCCTTTTCACTGTGTAACAGCTCAGTGTAACAAGCCATATTTTCTTCCTGTCCATCAAGTTCTGACAACTTTTCTTCAATTGAAGTGTACACTATTAACATATCTTCACTGGATTGTTGTAAACTTTGCATTTTGTGTTTGATGTCATCACTCATTCTTTCATTCAGATGCTGAAGTTTTACTCGTACACTTTCTATGACTTTCATTTTATTCATGACATGATGTTCTCTCATTATCATCTCAGACCTTTCCCTTTCCAGTTTGTCCATTTCATTCAAAATCATTTGTCTGTCTTTGTCAATGTCAATCCTCATTTGACTGAGAACTTCCCTCTCTCCACTCATGGTGTTCATGTTTTCTCCAACTTCTTCCTTTATCTTGTTGAGATTTTTCCTTAAACGTTCCACTTCTTTTCTTTCTGCCAGTACGCTCTTCTCACTGCTTTCCAGTTGTAGTTTTAGTCTTTTGATGGTGTCATCCTGTACTTCCTGTTCTTCTTGTTTAATAGTAATCTTGGTAAGGGTATTTTCAAGTTTGTTTCGTTGTCTCTGAACCTGAAGGGTCAGATCTTTAATGTTGATTTTCTCTCTGTTAATCTCATCTAACAGTCTCTCCGCCTGTTCGTTCTTCTTTTGTAGCCTAGTCTTTGTGACTTCCAACTTTTCTTTTTCGTCCTTTATATCTTGTTTATCTTGCTCTAATTGCTCCGTTTGTTTCAGTATATCAGACCTCATCTGCTCCAAGTTTGCTTTTTCTTTGTTTATTGTATCACTGACTTTGTCCAGATCTTCTCTTTCTTCCTTCAGCCCTGCCTTCAATTTGTCAAGGTTTTGTTTTTCAGTCGTAAACTTTTGCTTCGAAAGATCTTCAATGTCCTCTTTCTGTATGACTAAGCCTGACAATATATTTATCAGACCTTCCTTTTCTCTGTGTAACAGTTCAGTGTAACAAGCCATGTTTTCTTCCTTTCCATCAAATTCTGACAACTTTTCTTCAATTGAAGTGTACGCTATTAGCATATCTTCACTGGTTTGTTGTAAACTTTGCATTTTGTGTTTGATGTCATCACTCATTCTTTCATTCAGATGCTGAAGTTTTACTTGTGCACTTTCTATGACTTTCATTTTATTCATGACATGATGTTCTCTCATTATCATCTCAGACCTTTCCCTTTCCAGTTTGTCCATTTCATTCAAAGTCATTTGTCTGTCTTTGTCAATGTCAATCCTCATTTGACTGAGAACTTCCCTCTCTCCACTCATGCTGTTCATGGTGGCTTCAACTTCTTCCTTCATCTTGTTGAGATTTTTCCTTAGAAGTTCCACTTCTTTCCTTTCTGCCAGTACGCTCTTCTCACTGCTTTCCAGTTTTAGTTTTAGTCTTTTGATGGTGTCATCCTGTACTTCCTGTTCCTTCATCTTGTCGAGATTCTTATTTAAATGTTCCACTTCTTTACTTTCTAACTGAGTTTGCATCAGCTTCCTTTTGGTTTTGGGGATTTTTAATTCCTTCTCACTGGCAGTATTGTTATTCAGTCTCTTCCTTTCTCTTTGTTCTTTCTTGTGTTTCTGTTGTTCTACTTTGAGGATTAATGTCTGAGCTTTGCTCTGCTCTTCATTATCCAGCTCCTTGTCTCTCAGGACTATCTCTGAATATTTTTCTTTTTCTGTTGAGTTTTGCTCTTTTTTGACAGTCATCTGTACTTGCTCCAAATGTGTTTGCTTCTGCTGCATCTTCTTCAATACGCAAATGACCATTTCCTTTTGTCTTTTAATATCCATCTTGATAATTTCTACTTCTTCCTTTGCCTGGGTTATGATTTTTATCTGGGCTGCGATGTGTCGTTTTTCATCTTTAATTGTTCCATTCAAATCTTCACTGTGTTTTTCAATGTGTTTACATTTCTTCATACATATTTGAATCAGATCCCAGTGTTTCTGAATGTGATTTGAAGCTAACTGCTCTGTTCCACGTTTACTCTCATCCTTTTGTCTTTGCAGCTTCAGCTTCATAATCTCTAGTTCATCTCTCTCACTGATGATCCTCTCCAGCTGCTGGTCGAGCTCTTTCTTCCTCTTCCTTGTCTCCCTCTTGACAGCATCTTTTTCTCTTTTGATCTCATCCCACATCTTTTTAACTTCCTGATCTTTTCTAATGCCTTTTCGGATCATCTGTTGATTTTCTCTTTTTTTGATCTCCAACTCAGACTTCAACACTTCAATCTCTCTTCTTTCTCTTTTAACTTTCTCTAGTCTAATAGCAAGCTCCTGTTTTTGTTTTTGGATATCGTCCCTCATTTGGACTGTCCCATCCATCTCTGCTTCTGCACGTATCATCAGTTTTTCAAAGGCCATCTTTATATGAGATTTTATTCTGAACATGTTGTCTCTTAGAGTGCTGTTCTCACCTAGTAATGTTTTGAGCCCCTCTTTTTGTTGCACTAATTGAACATTTACATTGTCTAGAGTTCCCATTTCCATTCTAATTATTTCCAAATATATGTGAATCTTTTGTCTCATGTTTTGTTGATCAGCAATGCAATCAGTGACCTTTGAGATTTGGTGTTCCATTTCAGCATTCTCCCTGTTGCTTCTCACCTGTTTCTTTTCCATGCACTGTTTTTCATATTCTCTGTATTGTTGGATAAGAGTAGTCGGGTCTTTCATAATCTGCATATTCTCAGTGAACTCTTCTGTTTGTTTTTGCAGTTTTATCCTCAACACTTCTGATTCATCCCTCTCTCTTATGGTTTTCTCCAGTCTTTGGTCTAATTCTCCTCTTCTCTTTTGGGTCTCTCTCCTTAGTAATTCCCTTTCTCTTTGTATTTCATTCCACGTTAGTTTAATCTCCTCTTCTTTTCTAATGTTTTTTCTAAACATCCGTTCACCCTCTTTTCCCTTTATTTCTAGTTCTGACTTCAGCAGCTCCATTTCTCTTATTTCTCTTTTGACTGTTTGTGCTCTGTCATCCAGCTCCTGTTTCTGACATTTGATATTCTCCCTTAAACAGTTCATCTCATGTATTTCTGCCTCAGCTTTCTGTCTTGCTATTTTCACATTCTCACTCTCCAATTGAATCTGTTGTTTCAGCAACTCAATCTCTTCTCGCTTTGTCTTTTCTTTTACTTGCTCATGTATCAGTGTTATATCGTCCTCCAGTTTCTCTTTAACCTGTCTGAGTTTGAAGATTTCATTTTTGATTTCCTCCATTTCTTTGTCCTTTATGTTCTTTGTCAGTTTGTCCCTTTCTGTATCAATTTCAGCTCTGTCATGTTTCTTTACATCTCCTTTCTTTCTCTCAGTATTTTCCAAGGCAGATTCTCCATCCTTTTTCTGCATAATTTGATTCTTGAATTTTAAAAAGTCAGCTCTTTCCCGGATTATTAAAAGATAACTTCTTTCCACGTCATGTTTTGTAGTGTTAATCTTATAGTTTAGGTCATCCAACTGTCTTTGGTTTACTTGGGCCTCCTTCATACTAACCTGTATATCCTCACTTTTTTTTCTAGTCTTAACAGCCATTTTTTCTACAGTGCTCATAACTTTTGCCACTTTCTCCAGCTTCTGCTCAATATCTTCACTTTGACGCTGTATTTTTATTTTTAAAATATCTAATTCGTCTCTCTCCCTCAAACTTTTCTCTAACCTCTGATCGAGGTCTCTTTTCTGTTTTTTTTTCATCAGTTTCATGTTGCTTAATTCTTCTCTCAGATACATTACACTTTCCTTCATTGCAGTTTTTACCATTTTCAACAACATGTGGAAATGTTTAATCTCTTGTAACAAGCCTTCGGTTTCACTGTTTTTATCCTTGTGATATTTGTGAATGTTCATTTTTTCAGGTTGGTTTTTTGGTTCTAGTTTTACCAATCCTATGATATCTTGTGTTCTATACAACTCTGCCTTGAGCCTTTGAATATCAGAACTTCCAGGGTCCTTTTTATCAAAACCTCCATCCATCTCCTCAGTTTGTGTCTGTAGATCTTTTTTTGACTCTTGTCTTTGTTTTTCCTTCTCAACGTCCGATCTCATCAAGTCAGACTCATCAATTTCTTCTTGTTTCACTTTACTGCCATTCTCTTCTTGGACTTTATATGTAGTCATTTCCTGTTTAAAAACATTGGTTACCCACAAACTGTCTCTGTGCTCTGTTACCTGCAGTGGTCCAGTTTCCCCTTCCACAACATTTCCAGTTTCCTTGAATAGAATTTGTATCCCAGTTTCAGTGTCTGGCTTCTGGCTCTGCAGGTCATTTATATCTATAATCAGTCTTTTAATCTCTTGATTTTTTCCTTCCATGTTCTCCATAGCATACTTTATTTGCTCTTTGATTTCCTCCTCTCTCTGCTTGAGTTTAGACATCTGCTTCTTCACTTCTACCCTTTGTCTCTCATTTATTAAAAATTCTGTCTGATCCTCATCTACTAATGCTTCATCATGAATTTCTGTCTGCATCTGTAAGAAAATGTTCTGCTTTTCCTTTATGTCAACTGCAGAAAACTGTTTGTGCTCTGTTTGCATTTGCTCCTGTTCTTTAATTTCTACACATTGATGCTGGTCTTCTACTGTAATCGACTGTTGTACAAATAAAGTCTCTTTTGTAATTTCATCATCTCCTCTTTCTTCAACTGGTGGAATTTCCAGTGTGTGATCTTTGCGTGATTCTCTGTCTGTTTCTTTCTGTGGTATTTGAGGTGTAGATGTTTTCACTGAAGAAATGTTTTTGATTGCAGATTCTGTCAATGTCCATCTACTGACCTGAGCTTTCATGGAACTCAGCTTGTCCTTCACAAAAGAAAGAATTATTATTTTTGTTATTGTTTCTCATGCAACCAAGTTAGGTTTTATTGTGACATTCATTTATTGATAGAATCCTTGTTTATTGCTGTTAAAATTACATTCCAGACTCATTAAACTCACCTCATGTGCCTGTGGCAGTGGTTGAAGAAGTATTCACATATTTGACTTAAAAGTAGTTATACAGTAATACTGTAACTACAGCCTATTACTTGAATGTGTATTTTTTGGCAGATATTTATTCTTAATAGGTACAAAAAGGAAACTACTGCACAAGTTAATTAAGACATTACACTTATCATTGTTTTTAAAGTACTGACATGACATTAAACAAATACCAGCTAGAGGAGCTAGAGGATTAGGGTTAGAATCTTTCTGCCTGTATATTGTATTTAATAACTATTAATATAAAAAAGATCCAAAAAAGGGGGCAGCACGGTGGAGCAGTGGTTAGCACTGTCTCCTTGCAGCAAGAAGGCTCTCGGTTTGGGTAAAGTTCAGATGGAATGAAATGGCTCCATATTCAGAGTAACTTTTAAGGTGGCTGTGCTCTAACTCCTCATCTAGTGGGCAAATAAGATTTTGACAACCTTGGGTCATATTTATATCTCATAAGTGACAAAGGATATACATTTTGTGATATTCCATATCTTTCTTAATATCTTTCTTATTATCAACCAATCCCATGTGCAAGGCTTACATCTTCAGAAGGTACCGATGGGCTCAGGGCCTGACAGCAACAGACAGGATGGAGAGGTCAGAGATTACTGAGAGGCAATTTTCAAATTGTTTCAGAAAAGTTAGCCAGAGTTTGAACTTGTCTCTCTTATCTCTTTTTCAATTTTTGGAGATGTAGTATGAAATAGTTCTTCCCAACATACTATCGGTTCGTGTCTTTTCATGGGATTTAGTCAGTGTGTTGGCCACTGTAGTAGAGTTCCTCTAAAAGTTCCTCTACAGACATGTTTTAAACAATGTAAAAATAATCAGCTCTGATTAATATTTTGTTTAACATGATTTTCCTGCATAAAAACTTAAAAAACATAAAAACTGGGGCTGTAAGAACATCTACTCATACTTCCTCATTGAAAAATCTGGATCAGGCCTTATGCCCTGCCCCACACCGCTGCCTTTGCTAGATTGACAGGTGAAACAACAGGGAGTATCAATATTGGTGAAGGAATCATCGGAGAGACTCAGTCACATGTTTGAGCCTCAGACCCAGACTCTGGAGTTTTTGAAGATTTTATTGTGCACCAAAATTGCAGACTAGAAGATGTATCAGAACAGTAAGTCAAGTTATTTGTTTATGTTAACTCCCAATTGGTAGTAACTGACACAGTGTTAGTGGTTGTGCTAATGCAAACTCTTGCTCTTTGTGCTGATAAGGTTCCAGGTTTATTGAACTGGATTTGTTCCGTAGGTATATAACGAATTAAACCCTGGCTGTGTGACTCTGTTTTTATGAGACTGTTATTGGCTGTTTTTTGTGTCTGTCTGTTTTTATGGAATGCTTATTTTGCACATGATAAGTCTCATGTTATATAAAGACCATCACATGGACATGTTAACAAGGTTAAAAACTTGATTTTCATCGGAAGGGGTCTTTAATAACAGGGATTTCTAAACATTTTTCTTCTGAGTCAAATACACTCACTGAGCACTTTATTAGGAACACCACACTAACAATAGGCTCTCCCTTTGCTCTTTAACAGCCTCAGTTCTTCATGTCATGGATTCCACAAGATTTTGGGAACTTTCTTCTGAGATTCTGCTCCATGTTGACAGCATCACATCATTTCTGCAAATTTGTAAGCTGCACATTCATACTGCCTATCTTCTGTTCTACCATATCCCAAACCCGCGGCCGCAGATCAACTAAGCGAATCAGAAAGTAGCGTGATACAGTGCACTCCCTAGGTGCACTTGTGCCTATGAATATGGTAGTTTAGCGGTTGAAAAATGTAGTGCCAAAGGAAAGTGCTGCTTTCACAAGAGGATAAACTGCTGAAAATATTATACATGAGGCGAACATTTATACGGATATCGGATTGTTTCGGTGGGCATTTTTAAAAATGTCTAAAACATGTTTTTCTGGTGGCCCCGTGCACAGCAACACATAGCTCTGGTAGTCTGCCAGCCGGTATTCCCGATCGGCTAACTGGGAGCGCGCTGAACAGAATCTACTGAGGGTAATGTACCGACTATTAATGTGTCTGTCACACAACCCCATGCCAAAAAAACCAAACTATCCTTTTAGGGGCCCAAAGTGTAAAAACACACTCCACACCATTACACCACCATCACCAGCCTGCGCTGTTAACACAAAGCAG